AAAAAAAAAAAAAAAAAACCTCTCCTCTTCCAACTAGTCAGTGCCTCAGGCCTGATGTCCCACAGCTCAGGACCTGAAGCTACAAGAAATGAAAAGACATACTAAAACTTTCCTCTGCCAAGATCCTCCAGGGACACTTTACATCACACCATGCCACTCCCGAACATTGTAAACAACAATGCATAATGGCCACGTGTGGCACTTCTACCTACCTTCATGATGCCTGTGACCATGTACTGAAAAGTTCGATTGCTAAATCCCTCACTGGCTAACACAAAGATAGTATACTGGAAATATCCCGCAGGACCAGAGTGTGTGTGAGTACCACTCAGGATGACGTTGTCTCTTCTGTAAAGGGAGCCATATTTACTCTTCAGTCTGTCCAGGACCTTTAGGGAACAAACAAATAAAAAACAGAAATAAGAAAATGAAAACAGGAGCTGAGCGTAAGCAAAGGCTCTGTGGAATCTATCACTGACCTAGATCAGTGACACCTTTTATTAACTACCCTTCACTCTATGCTTAGTCATACCAGGTGACCCCATAGTAATAATAATAATTACAGTAACTAACATTTCATATGTCCTTGGTATGTGTAAGCAAAATGCTATGTATTACATGTATAATTTAAAAGACCTTTAAAACAATCCCAAGGGCCCTTCTTGGTGGCGCAGCAGGTTAAAGCACAGCACTAAGAAGCTAAAGCCACTTCCGCATGAGTTCCACCCGTCCTGGAGATGATCCACATGACGAGGCAGACCTCTCCTAACACATCCGCTGCTCCCCTCAGCAGTGTGCCTGTTCTGCTCCCCACTCTGTCTCTGGTGAATCCTCTCACTGCCTCTGCACCTCTGGCCTGTACCCTAGTTCTGTATGCATAAATAAATAAATCTTGAAAAAAAAAAGTATCCCAAGAGGTAGTGTTTTTTTCTGAGAACACAGAAATGTAAAAAAGTTAAATATTTTGTTCATTGATCTAAAAGAAGAGCCAAAATCCAGGTCCAAGTCTCCTTAATTATAGAACAAATACTTGCCCCTATTCACCATTCAACACATACTACTAGTTTCCAGCTACTATTCTAAGCACTATGAATATATAAGGTTACTATTCTGAAGAAATGTTTATTCAAATAAAGGATAAATAATAAATATTTAATATATCACATAGTGATAAATGCTATGAAGGAAAACATTGCTGGGTAAGAAAAAGAAATGACAAGTGTTAGTGAGGAAAGCTTTTGCAAAAAATGTTTCCTCTCATCAGAAGTTTAAGTAAAGAGTTCAAACTTATCATGCAATACCTAGGGGAAAATTGTCCTGGGCACAGGGAAGAGATCATGCAAAAATGTCCTTAATGCTGTTTTTCCAAAAATGAAGAATTCGATATTTCCAGAAAAATTATCTGCCTGAAGGTAACCAAGTGTACTATACAAGCAATAGAGAGAATTTGTGAGCTCAAAGCTCTATGTTGGTGAACACACAAATAGAACAACACAAAGTAAAATGAAAATAGTTAAAGAGCCATTCAGGAAAATCTAAACAGAAATAACATCTATATTATGGGGGACCCAGAAGAAAAAAGAAAAAATTAAAGAAAATGTATTTGACAAAATAGTTGTTGAGAACCATCTCAATCTGGGAAGTAAATCAGACATCCTAATCCAAGAGGCTCAGAGTTCCAAACAAATAATCATACCAAACATACATGCACACCCCAAGACACATTATAATAAAATGGTTAGAAGTTAATGACATCAAAAGAAAAGGGATAACCTATAAGGGAACACCAATTAGACTCTCAGTAGACTTTTCAGTAGAAAAGCAAGAATGAAATGCAGAAGATAAAGGTTTCCAGCCTAGAATCCTTTACTCTGCAAGATGAATGTTCAATACAGAAGAACAGGTAATATGCTTCATTGAAAAGCCAAAAGAAGTTATTAATAATAAACCACACATAAAAGAGATGTTAAAGGAGTTATTATAAGCAACAGAGCAACAAATAAACAGGTAATTGTCACCAAAATTATGTAACGTGACGAATGAGGAGAGTAATAATGTGGCCCATCAGGATGAGTTTGACATCAGAGCATCCAGTGGGTCACACAAAAAAATCCCTCATATACTAACTTCAGCATAAATTTCAGACAAAATTCAATAGAAGTAACACTTGAGATGATGGAAATGGAGACTGATCAATACATCATCATGTTCCTTCTTTGATGTTAACTCCAGTCAACTTTCCATTGCTCTTACATATCCTTCCTTATAGTAACAACTACATTCATGAAGAAGAAATAAAGCAAGGGGAAATGACCAGTAAAAGAACACCATGAGTACTGAACTCAAAGGCTAAATTCCAAGACTAAAATATGCTCACAAATAAATATGTACCAGGAAGGGCGGGAAGAAAAGAAAAGGAAAAGAAGGAAGAAAGAAACAAGAAAGGACAGAACAGTTGGTCAACTTTAAATCTCCTCTAGACTTACTCCCAACTTTCATTCCTAGAGAAGCACAATATTAGAATTCAGAATCCAGTATATTTCTTCAGGTTTATTCAAGAATCAAGCGCTAAAAAAGTAAAAATTAAAAATTTTGAATTTCAAAGTAAAAGAGTGCAAATAGCTCACAAAAAACTTACCCTACACTACAATCTCTAATACAAAGTCAGACACACAGGACTTGTAGGAAAAGAAAAGGAAGTAAAACACTAAGGCATTTAGTGCCTGCAAATAGTCATTCTAAACAGTATGTTTCCTAGTTTATAAAGAAGAGGTATTTTAAGACAGAGCAAAGTTACATTAATGTCCTCGGCTCATTTCCTTGCCTTCCATTTCCTGTTACTGACACTCTTGAGAACATGACAAATTGTTGGAAAGTTATTCTTTTTTCTTGCCCTGACTCACTGGAGATAATTTCTTTAATCATTCCACTCTGGATATCCCATCAATCTTAAAGCAAAGGGTGAGAACCTGCCTATAAGCAGGAATATAAATAAGCTTATAAAAAAAAAAGGCAGTTGTATAGATACATTTCTTTTTCATACCTTCCCATGACTTAGATAATTAAGAGAGATCCTTTACAAGCCTTCCTACCAGGTCTCAGATTGTGTGGGGAAGTAAGAACTAAGAAGAAATGGTTCAATGGTGCCTACTATTGACTTGACAGCATCTACAAAGTAGCCCATTAAACCCCTCTCCTCTCCACACTCCTCCCTACAAGCCTACCTTTTGATTCCTACTAGGCCAATGACCTCATCCTTTCTCAAACAGAATGATCTTGGATACTTGAGGAAAAGAGTCGAGTACAGAGGAACTGTATGAGTCCTGCCTATGTTTGAATCCCACCTTCCACTGTTCCTAGCTGTGAGAACTTCGACCAATTATTTGATTATTTGCAATTCGGTTTCCCAATCAATCAAGTGGCATAATAATAGTACCTCCCTCATACAGTTGTTTGGAAGATTAAATTAATTGATATATGTGAAGCACCTGAAGGAAATAATTAGTGTAGATGAAGAACTTAGAACAGTGCCTGATTCATCATGGAAACAATGTTGTGTTACTTTTATATCTTTTCATCCCCAAATCTCATTAGCATTTAATTTAACTTCTTGTCACCATTTTTTTTCTTTTCTTCCATTGGTTTAAAACATTTGATATATCGGTCCTCCCTGGTGGCGCAGCGGGTTAAAGCACAGCACTGAGAAGCTGAAGCCACTTCCGCATGAGTTCGATTCCCGCTGGCCCCGGAGGTGACCTCATGGTGTGGCAGACCTCTCCTGACCCGCCCGCTGCTCCCCTCAGCAGTGTACTTCATTGATCTGCCTGTTCTGCTCCCCACTCTGTCCCTGGTGAATTCTCTCACCCTCCGCATCTCTGGCCTGTACCCCAGTTCTGTATGAATAAATAAATCTTTAAAAAAAAAAAAACATTTGATATAGGGGGAAAATTTCAGGCAAAGTTAAAAGTTATTCCTGAAATCCTGACTTCTTAATTATTTCAACCTTCATAAGCCTCATTAACTTCCCCATTTAATTTCTCTCTATCTGAAATGCTTTCTGTGATACTGTTTTCTCAACTGGACCATCACCAGTAGAACCTTAATATTAATGTAAAGAATCTTCCCATTTGTGTTCTTACTTCCAGTCTATACCAGTAACACCTCAATCATTGCAAAACTGTGTTTGCTTCCTTTCTCCACTGGACAGTTTGCAAGAATCTCCACCACCTGAAAAATTAAAATCAATTTGGCATCCTAGGACCCCTACAATTATAACCAATACACCTCTTAGCTGTATCTCCAGCTACATGCTCACACACATCCTGGGAGAGCTAATCTCTGTCCCTTCAGAGGAGAGTCCACATTACTCCTTGTATTCATGCTGCCTCTGCAGGTTATCTCTCTCCCTTCCAGGTTAACCACTTAAAATGCTGCACATTTAGAAGGAGGAAGGGTAGTGAGCAAATCAGGTAAAAGAGGTTAAATATAAAATTGGATTTTTAATGGCAAACTTAATGCAGTATATACACATGTTAAATTTTTAATGATGCACACCTGAAACTTCTATAATGGCATCATGTTACACCACATCAATTAAAAAAAAAAAAAAGCAAAATTCTGCCTATTCCAATGTCACTTCCACTTTGAAATGCTCCCCCTAATTTCCATTTCCTGAATCTCCAGTGATGGTTTTAAAATATGATTTGTCCACAAATTCTTTGATATGCTTGCCTTCAAGAGGTGAAGTTTAACTTTCCTACAGTTCAGCATGAACTAGAGTTAGTGAATTTCTCCTAATGAATAGAACAAGGTGAGAATGATGGTGTATAACTTCTGAGCCTGGGTAATAAAAGGCACTATAGCTTCTTCTCAGCTTTTTCTCCTAAGTTACTCATTCTGAAAGAAACTAGCTACTACGTCATAAGGACAGAGAGCGGGGAACTGAGGTCTTCTGCCAATAGCCACAAGTGAATCTTCATGAAAACGGGTTTTTCAGCCCCAGTCAAGCTTTGAGATGACTGCAGCCTTTGACCTAATCTTGATTTCAAGATACCTTAAGCCAGATCCACCTCATTAATCCTGTCCTGAATTCTGACACACAGAATGTCTGAGATAATGAATGTTTATTGTTTTAAGCCACTAGGTGTAAGAGCTATTTGTTAGTCAGGAAGAGATAATTATTATTATATATCATTGTACTTTACTCCAATGAATTCTGTTTATGTGCCTGTTTCTGTTTTTGTTACCATCCTTTCTCCTTTCCCCAATTAGACAGTAAGCTCCTATGGGACATGGACTGTGATTCATTTAGTTGTATATACCCAGAAGTGACTAGCAGAGTCTCACAAAAAGCAGGTAACCTGCACCCTCATGTTTATTGCTGCTTTATTTACAATAGGAAAGACATGGAATCAACCCAAATGCCCAAAAGTAGATGAGTGGATTAAAAAGATGTGGTATGAATACACAAAGGAATATTACTCAGCAGTCAAAAAAATAAACAAATGCCTTTTGCAGCAACATGGATAGAAGGGATCATGCTTAGTGAAATACCAGGAAGAAATGGGAAAATACCGGAAGGTTTCACTCATAGCAGGAGTGAAGGACCAGGGGAGAAAATAATTATAATAATGAACAACTATATACCAGAGACATTTTATGGGCGTGGAGTGGGGAATGGGATCAAAAATGGGGTGGAGGAAGAGTACACTAGACTCTGGTGATGGCACACGGGTAATTTGGTGATGGAAAGCCCACAGAGATTATAACTGAGATGGAAAAAGGCACAAAATGATGTAAATATAAACTATTATGTTATATATATGTATAGATAGATAGATAGATAGATAGATAGATAGATAGATAGATAGATAGATAGATAGATAGATAGATAGATAGATATAGCAGGTGGCCACTGCCATTTGATGAAAGAATTATGCCACTATTAAGAATGTGGTCTCAGAGATCAGACATGTATGTGCTCAGAACTCAACTTGTCATTTACTAACTGAACCTGGGAAAGTGATGCACCTTTAAACTCAGTTTCTTTACCCATAACATGGGGATATTAACAGACCCACTTGAGTTATGTGGTAAGGGTAGAGACCATGAAAATATTTAATATCCTGCTCCTAGTGTTTCCATAGATGGAAGAGGCTCCCATTCCATATCCCACAGGATGTGACCTTGCAAAAATGTACTTAGGCTCTCTCATCAGCCCTTCTCATTAGCCAGTTCCTGGAACAGAAGACAATTATCTAAGGAAGAGGAACTAATGGTTAAGCAGCACCCTCAGACTTCTAACAAGGATTAAATAAGAGAATGGAAGGTCACCTAGAATATATAATAAGCATTCAAAAAATATTAGCATGGGTAATGCTAATTAGTCCTCAGCCCATCAGTGAATTGAAAGCAAAATTTAATCAAGAGAACAAAGAATGCAAAGGTCAGGATCATCCTCCTCATATATTTGTCTGTTGGATTTTCAAGAGTCTAAAAAGTTGAGGTAATAGAAATTTACCAGATGAAAACCCAGGAGGGCTTAGTTGTTGTCACATTCACCCACAGACTTTTCTTACAGATCTGATCTTTGCTTTCTCACCTTAATTACTTACCTCTAGCCTGAGTCGTTGTGATATCATGCCTATGTCAACACTGACAAACACCGTTCGATTTGACCCATCAGGCTCTGCCATGATGAAAGCACGGCTGTACAACCGCGTGAGGAGGCCTCTTGCATTCTGCCCAGATTTGCTATAACCCATCTAGAAAGAAAAAGAAAATCAAAGCCACTCTGTCACAGTTTCCTGCTACCAGAAACCAGCCACACCCTTACAAGAATAGGCTATTCAGGGAAGACAAATAAGATAGCATACGTGTATTCAAAAATAAAATAAAGTCAACATCATAAAAGAGGCTTTCCTCTTCTGTGTAAAAAATGCAAAAGTATAGTGATCTCCTTGGAAGAAGCTACATTAGTGGCCAATCTGTGAAAAAGAAGCTGGTGTGGTTTAAGAATTTTGTTACTACCATGGAGAGCTTTCAGGGATTTTCTGTTCCTTGAACAAGAAGTGTTTCTCCCCCTGCCTAAGATATTACACAAGGAAATAATTCCCCTCCCACCATCCCACATTGCCCAGGAATGTCCTGAAGACTGAAGTTTCCTTCAACTCAACTGTTTGAAGAGGGATTTCTTTTTCTGAAAAAAAAAAAAAAACAAAAACATTGCTTTGCGATTAAGTAATCTTTACTGACAATACCTAATCCTAGCTTTTGCTACATGGTTCCACCATAAGTCAGGTGAGATCGAATACTGTGCCCCAAGCCCTCTTTGACCATGTCATAAGTCCACCCAGAACACTATCCCCAGGTCTTCAAGGTACTTCTGTTCTGTTTGCTCTACCTCTCATGTGAGTATCCATTTAGGGTTCATAGTCCAGAGTCACTTTTCAGATCAGACAGCAGGGAATAAATCCTGGAATCTAAAGATTATTTGGTATGAAGTAGACGATCCCATCAAACAATCTCATGCTATGCTTTTCTCAGGAAAGATTGTTATAAATGGACACAGGTTTTCCCTGTCAACCAAAAGTAGAATCCTATGAGACCTATCAGATTCCAAAAGTAGAATCCTATGAGACCTATCAGATTCCATCAAACAATCTCATGCTATGCTTTTCTCAGGAAGGATTGTTATAAATGGACACAGGTTTTCCCTATCAACCAAAAGTAGAATCCTATGAGACCTATCAGATTCCAAAATGGCATAAAGCCAAGATGTATTTGCCACTAACTTACACAGAAATAATTCTGAACATTCCGAGGCCCAAAAAATAACTGACCAAGATCAGATGAAATGACACATAAAATTTAAACTAACACCAAAATATAATAACATCAGAAAGTTTACAATAAATACACAGTGGATGAAAGTAGTTCCCAAGGAAGGAGCCTGACTGTGCTACTCTATCTTGTCTAACAGCTGCTGCAAATAAATACTGAACACTATCTTTGCTTTTCTCCTTTTTTCATAAAGCATAAATCCACTTCAGATATCTCTCAATGAAAGCAGGTACTCATAATGTAGGCCTTTTGTAAATGCAAAGTGGCATAATGTAAACTTTTAGAAAGCAAAGCCTACCTGTATTTTCATAATCAGGGCCCAAAAGTTGCATGCTTCTTGTCACCAATAGGCTGGCAGCTTGCAGGCCACGCCTGACACATACAAGTGTTGTACTTGGCTTATACAGTGTTGGCCCATACTAGGTTTCCGGCTTTTAACTAGAGTTGCTACTTCTCCAGCTGAGAGATGTAAATTTTCAAATCTTCAATCCAGAAGTTCTCTGGCTTCACTTGCAAAATTTCTAAGGCCACACTGAGTCTATAATCTTACAGGGCAGCAGACAGTTGTGGCGTGCACTTTCTAGTCGCAACAGGTCCCCACCACTCCCTACTGCCCCCTACATCAAGTATTCACAAGCCACTGATCTTCTTATACTGACCTTCCTGGGTCATTTACGGTGCCTGCTTATCACTTGCAGTATTTGAGCTTGCCCATATTATCACTTCTTAAAACAGTCATTATTTTAATAAAAGAGTTATGGTTCAATAAAAGTTTCTCTCTTCCATATAGCTAAGCACTCACATTGTTAGATAGCTAGAAGTTCGTGATGTAATAATAAGCAATAAATGCAGGATAACAAACAATAAATTTCAGGCTTTTTGAGGCAGCCATGATTTACCCACCAGATTGATATCCGCTACTTGTCCTGTGCAGTCAGCTCGCCCAACTCCAATATGGTAGCCACTGAAATTCTGAAATAGAGGTGGCTCTGGGGTAGTTGTCATTGGTTTCGTTGTGTTTTGAGGAACTGTGGAGCTCTTGGTCGTTGGAGGGTCCTGTGTGCTTGGGGAACCTGAATTTAAAAACAGAATAAGATATACAAGAAACAACATTTTAGCCTACTAATTTTCTACATCAATTTGAACACACAGGTTCGGGTTCCTGATGAAAAATCTTAGTAGTCTCTTATAGTAAAGACATATGATGAGAAACACCTCAAGAAACTTGTTTCCTATCATAACTACGAGGAGAGTTTTTTCTTATACTGGAGATGTTTTGGCTGAACAAGGCCTCCATAAAATATCCTTCAGCTTTTCATCACAAGTCATTCCTTGTCAAATCATTACCCTTACTCACTCACCCTGTACTTCTGCTTCAGTCAGACAAATTATCTGCCAGTTACAGGAACACAGCCTTCTAAACCCAGTTCCTGGGGGTTAATTTCTATCACTCTCCTCACTCAGGTAAGGATGTGTGAGTGCACACAGACACAAACATGTGCACACGCAGAATGATATGCAGACTAAGAGAACAGGTATCAGAAATAAACACTCCGGGTTTGAAAATTGACTTACTATTACAGGGCAACCCAAATGTACAATGGGTTGGCCTGAGTGGGTACACACCTGTATGCTTAAAAGGAACTTATAATGAGACTCAACTGCAGGCACACACAAACAGGGTAATAAAAATTTACTTACAAAAATGGGAAAATGAAGAAAGAAATTTTTCAGGAAGAAAGAGAGGTATAAGATGGTGAATGTGTCCTATCAGTTCCACTGAGCTGGAACACCATCAGCATGCTGAAAGCCAGCAAAAAACAAGAACCACGAAGGCCCACATATTTGGTTATACACCAAGCCTGGCTGTTTAACTCTACCGTCAGTTCTCAGCAATCCTCCCTACAGTGATGATGACATGAAGGGATTTGTAGTCCTTGGTGTCTTGACTTTCTATAGTCTGGCGTAGTGGTGGGGTTCATACAACCTACTTGTGGAATTTGTTAAGGACATCCTTTCCCCCCCAACATTACCACTTACTTGCTAAATTAATGACAGGCTATTTAATCCAAAATTTCTCATCTGAAAAAGGAGGTAATAACAATATACTACTTAACTGGGGTTGTTTTGAGCAATAAATAAATAATAAATTTTTAATACTTAAAAATATTAAAAATTCAGAACAATGACTGGCATGCAGCACTGGTTTGTTTTATTTACATATTTAGATAATTTACATGTACATGTTATTTATCTGTTTACAATTAGGAGTGACCAAGTCAGTAAATATTAGTGTCACAAAGCATTAATAGTCAGAAAGTTCCTGGGCTAGAGGTTAATAATAATAACAATAATAATAATAATAACTTCTCATACTACAGAATTTTGCAGTTCAAAAATAACCTAGAGCTCACCTAGTCTAATCTTCTCCATTTCACATGTGAGAAAGCTAAAACCCAGAGAAGTGACTTAGTGAGCATTTCATGGCAACATACAAGGAATCATGTGCCCAAAGCAGATGTGCCAACTCAGATCTGAATATTCATTCAACCACAGCTAGCTGGAGTTAGACTCCCTACATCTCCTTCCAAGCCCATGTTTCCAAAAGACATCAGGAATTGTAAGAAAAGAATGGTAGATTGTAATGTCAACCAAAGTCAAACCTTGTCACATAGCCAAAGGCAAGTTCTTTGCAGTCACAGTCTCAGTTCTCAAGTCTGTAAGATGGCTTACCTAGCACCTATCTTTACAGAACTTTTAGGATATTTAAGTAAGAAAATAATATAGACTCCTGACTACAAGTTCTTGACCCAGAATAACCATTCAATAAAATAACTATTTCTACTATGAGAATAGTTACTATAATAACTAACCTCTGTAAGTCTTAGCCTCCATATTCTCTTTATTTTAAAAGCTAAAACTAAATCCTATGAAGCCTTTAAATCTAGCAGTTCAAGAGTCTGTTTTGTCCACTACTGGAACAGAAGATCATAGCTGCTCTGTTTGCAGGAACTTCTAAGCATGAGGACATGATAGAGAATATACTGGAAAAGAGAAAAAGTCACAGAAGAAAAAACTGAGGTGAGAATTGCTCTTTGTACCACCATTGGCCTGTGGTTAGCTCTCCTTTTACTTTGTTCAAAGCATTCAATCTTCATTATCAACTCTACTCATTTTGCAGGTACACAACCTAACACACCCAAAGCTGTCTATAAATGCAGTCCATATAATCTCCAAATAAATTTTTAACATTAAAAGGGAGAGAGATGTATAAAAATCCCATCTAAGTCATGAAAACAGATAGCTGGCATTCGGGAGGGCCCCTTCACCAGAAGGGGCCCACACCCTGGCCACTCTCCCCACTTCACTTACAGAACCTGACTGGCCCTCATAAAGATCTGAGTTCAAAACTCCCCTCTCTGAAACTCTGCACAAATCGATATTCGGTCAATCTTTCATTCTTCTTTTGCCCACAGAAGAAAATGACACCAAAAATAGAGACAAAGAAAAAGAGAAGTTAAGGAAAAGTACATATCACTGTAATTAGATCAGCAAAAACATACAAAAAAAGTTAATATGTGACATAATGCCTGTCAACTGGTGACTTAAAGCAAAGATAAGCAATATAAAAATTTCTGTTAATACAAAAATAGGAATTTATGTAAAGTTTACATGATCATCTCAGACTGCTTAAGTACATATTAAATTGTCCTGCTGTCAACATTATCAGTAGACACTGTCTCTTGCCTAAATATCCTGTAATCAAGAAATTTCATGCAGGCCAAGGAACACCATCCAAGAAAGCTATGACACTTGCCTTTGTGGTTTTCAATGGTCCCACTTGTGATAAACAAGAGACTGAGAAGGGCCACCGTGATCGCAGTCATCATCACAAGAATGAAAATCAGGAATGATTCCAATGTGGAAAAGGTACGTTTAGCCATTTCTCCTGAGGAAAAAGAGATGAAAGAAGAAAGATGAAAAGCATTAAAAAAATAGAATCACATATCTAAAATGTATGTGCTTCAAGCTGCCCAGCTAAATTAAGATGTCTTCCCTTTTTCATAAGACTAGGTAACACCAGAGACAGCAGGTACAGAGCACACTTGTCACTACATAATGCAAGGCCATGGCCAGGCAGGCCAGTCAATCACAGCACTCTTTGATAAGCTTGGATGGGGTTTCCAAAACGTTCTCAGCCCAGAGCTCTTCCTGGCAGCTACCATCTCTCATTTAGCCAAGCTAACATCTATTTGCATTCCTTGACTGCATCGCATTGTTTTCATGTATGGCACTGATGCTGTTTGTGGGTCTCTACATTGCTCTTGGTTGGAACACAGCTGTCAGCAGGGATGATGATTGCACCCACACTACCACACTACCACACTAGCTCTTATGAGAGAGCTGGCTAGGACTAGGCTCAACACTGCAATCACATATGGAGTAAACTGTCTTTCCCATGTGGAGGTAAAACCCATAAACTTTGGTCTTTAAACTCTATGTTCTAACTTTCAAATACTATGATATAAGTATAGAAATGGGGCTTAGCATAAAAAAAAGGGGTTTGCTAGCCTCAAACCAGGTATTAGTGAAATTTCTCTCTTTGGTGATCAGAAGGAACCCATTCATTTTGCAAGCTCTGTATCAAAAGACAGGTAAAGAGTAATTATGCAGACAAAGGATGAGGATAAAGATCATGGCTTACATTCTACTAAAGCACAAAATGTCCTTATAGATTTTTTAGCATATAGTAATAGAACTTACTATCACTAAGAAGGACTATAAAAGCTAAAGCCCCATATAATGTAGCAGGAGAATGTGTAATCTGGGAGTTAAAAATAGAATTCTGAGTCTCCTCTAGTATTCAAATCTCATTTCTGTCATTGGCTGGGTGAATAGGAAACCCCAGACAATAAACCTCAGTTTCCCCATCTTTAAATAGGACAAGATGACATACTATAATTGTATACCCAAATTAGAGTTTCTATAAAAATAAGGTGAAATGGGCCCTCCCTGGTGGCGCAGCGGGTTAAAGCACAGCACTTAGAAGTCAAAGCCACTTCCACATGAGTTTGATCCCCGCCTGCCCCCGAGGTGACCACATGGCGTGGCAGACCTCTCCTGACCCGCCCGCTGCTCCCCTCAGCAGTGTACTTCATTGTTCTGCCTGTTCTGCTCCCCACTCTGTCTCTGGTGAATCCTCTCACCCTCCGCATCTCTGGCCTGTACCCCAGTTCTGTATGAATAAATAAATCTTAAAAAAAAAAATAAGGTGAAATGATACAGGTTAACGATCTCTTTCTTGTAATGCAGTAAATGCTTAAATACTAGCACCAGTTTCCTAAATGACAAAGACTGTGCTCCTCTCTGTCATTAAAGGGAGTTTACATAGGTTATTATCAAAATATTACTGGAGTCAGGTAGGAATATTAAAACCCATTTTCTTAGCCCATGATTTAGTAAGCCTGAACAATGCAATGGGATTAGACCACAGATTTGCCCCAAATGAGCAATGTTTGACTAAAATGTTGCTACCACCAAGACTTGTAAATTGGTAACAGGTATATTTAGTATAACCTAGGGAAAAAACTGGTTTCAATTTGACTTAGCTGACAACATAAAATGAGCTTATAGTTTATAGGAACTACATTTACAAATCTGAAACTTCAAATTTTTTTACAAGTATTTCATAAAATACAACACTGAGTCAGCATTCCCATAAGGCAAGAATTTCATAAATTTAGTGGCTGCCATCCCTTTAGATGGGGCATGCCTTCTCCAGCCTGCCAGGTTGACTACCTAGTGGGCTTTATCCATCTCAGCTGTCATTTGGTATATAATAGTCATTTTACTCTGCAACCCTTGCACTCAGGGTTAAGTAAGTGTAACAGCAAGTACTTCGAGTGTAGTGCTAAACTGGAAGTAGACAGAAACTAGAACATCTTCCTAGCTTTCCTAGTTATTTTTCAGTTTTCCTATCTATTTATCACCACCACTATCAACATCACCACCACCAGCAGGGGTAATTTCAAAATCAGGGCAATATAAAATAGTTCTTTAT